TCAATGCAAGCAGGCGTTTGTCATCCACGTTATAGACCCGAATGCAGAAGAGACCGAGGTCGAGAAGGATTGGGAGCAAGAAGTCGAGATTGGTGTTCCCGAAGAGGAGGCCGAAATCTCGATGCATGCGATGGCTGGTACAAGAGTACCAACGACGATGCGGCTGCCGGCATTGGTCAAGGACCGAAGTGTAGTCGTGCTAGTAGACAACGGATCATCGCACAACTTCATCAACGCCGATCTATCTCAAAAGTTGAAGTTGCCAACGACGAAGGTCGAGCCATTCGAGGTCCGAGTAGCCAATGGTGAACGGCTAAAGTGCACCGAGTCTTATCGTAGGGTGCCGATCAAATTTCAAGGAGTCACCATCAAAGCCGATCTCTATGCACTACCCTTGGTGGGACCCGACGTGGTGTTAGGAGTACAATGGCTCGAAGGGTTAGGAAAGGTGACCACCGACTACCGGATGGGAGTCATGGAATTCGACTCAGGAGAGCACCGGCTCACGTTAAAGGCAAGCAAGAATGGCAGGACCAAGGAGGTTGGTCTCAAGAGTATTGAGCGAGTTTGGTGTGGAGGCGGCCAGACTTTCACCATCAAGGATGCAAGCGTACATGCGGACATGGTCGAGCCAGTTAAGTACAAAGAGCTCCCTTTGTTCGTCGACTATTGCGAAGAGATCGAGCAAGTCTCGACGGATTATAATGGCCCACCTATCTTCAACGTGTACCCCGAGGATGAACTCATGGACGACGAAGTAGTCAAGAAAGCTGAGATCAAGGAAACTGAGGTCAAAGGCGAGGTGCAAGAGGTTTGGACGATCAAGCTGCAGCAAACCGAGACACGCGCGTTGGTCAGAGCAACCGACCGCATACTAAGCAAGTCCGACAAAAAAGAAGGACGAGTCGAAGGGAAGTGTAAGGAGTCCATCTTCCCATCTGAATTCTCGAAATATTTTTCAACGGTCATGAAGTACGAGTGCGAGATGACGGACTATGAAGGACCTCCTATATTCGATGAATACCCCGACGACTTTGTCAAGGACGAAGAAATTTTGGTTGGAGTCAAGAAGGAGGTTTGGGTCGTGATCGAAGAAGACTGCAGTAAAGAGACGTATGATGTGAACGAAGTGAGGACGCCCCAGTTG